AATTGACTGAAAAGTTCAAAGCTTGTTTTCCAGTTATGCACTCTTTGCAAAGATGATTGTAATGACCCTTAAACCACTTCAAACCACTAAAACATCCTAACTAATCTGCCATCACTCCACTGACTCCAGCAAGCAGTTCAAAGTAAAGGCACCCTATCTAAATTACCTACATAATAAGTAGTTTAATACCATAGATAAGTGAGAAGTGAACAGGAAAGTCTTGGGTGGCCAGGATGTTGTCCTTTTCAGTGTTCCCCCTCCGCTGCATTAATCTATTTAATTTTTATGTACTTGACCCTGGCATGTCTGTGCTTTACATTTGTAAACAGGATTTGTAAGATATTTCATTAGAAAATGCAAACTTTTATGTAGCCTACTGCTACTATGTTTATATTGTCATGAATGTGAAGAGTGTTAAGAACAAAGTCTGAATAAATGTGCAGCAGGTCAGAATTTGAAACCTAGATAATCTGTGTGAGCCAGTGTATCCTTTATTATTAACATTAAGTTGGTAGCAGATGAGAAATCCAGTACATTTCTGTCTTTGAGGTAAAACACTCGCAAGAATTAGAAACTTCAGACAGTCTTCCTATTAAAGATGTTCACTATACTGCCCAGAAAATAATAGTTGAAGAGGGTATTGGATTATATGCACAGCCTTGATAATATCTTTTTCTCAAAGAAGAGATGGCAAAGAAGTCAACAACACAGAAAAATATTATCTCAGTATTTCTGGAGGCCCAAGGTTAGAGTGTTTTTACAGAATACAGAAGTAAATTTTATTAGAAAAAACAAGGATTCATACTTCTCCAAACGTTCCCCTGAGCCTAAGTAACCCATCAAGCTAACATGACAGTTTCTGTAGACAATGGCACACAAGGAAGCAATGTTGTTAGTATCACATGTGGCTGCTTTTGACTCCTCTCCTTGCCATTTTACAGCTGAGTTGAATGTAGGAATAGTTCAGTGTATGTCCAGAGCAGCATACATACTACGCATTTTTACTACACTGAACAGCTAACTAAACTAGAAAGGGTCAGTAAATTAATAACAGATATAAAACATTATAGTCAAATTAGGGTTGTGACAAACATATATCTACTATATGGAAGATGCTGGATAACGCATATAATTACTAGAGCAATTAGTTTCTCATATGTCAAGAGAAGCTGGCAAGAGTAACAGTTACATTCATCCTTAATGCATTTTGTGTTTGGAGTTTCCCAATCAGAGCAGGTTTTAATCTTTTCAATCTGTTGGTTGATCATTTTTTTCTTTTTAATCAACACATCTCTTCACATTTTAATGCAAGAAAATGGCTAATTTAATACAGATATTCAAATGCAGTCCAACTTTTATGATAGCTTTTTGTTTCTGGTGCCCATTCTTGAGTATGCTGCCTGTCTCCCAAAGTGTGCTGCATATGGGATTGCTCAGGGTTCATTGAAGTCTGAAAAATATTCCCTTTAGTTCTGTGATGTTATCCTGCCTTCCCTTTCACTTCATTGCAACTCTAATGCCATCAGAGCTGTGAAATAAGTATTTCAAACTAGTTGGTCAGTGCTTGAACAGGAGAAAAGAAAACACCCATCCAACTCCATAAATGGAGGGTGGCAATAGGATATTACTTTTATCCACAATTCAGGCATTATTTAAAACACTGAGGTAACATTTTATTTTTAGCCATGTCACTTGCTATTCCAAGTATACTAGCTTAAGGAGCTGCAGCTGAAGGAAGGAGTTCCTGCTTGTTTGTGTGTGTTATTTTCTGTATCTCTCATACAGAAATGAGACATGTAAGTGTTTTAAATATAACACAGGCCCCTAGGGAGGCTCTGTCTCCATAATACAAAAATGCCACGTGTATCTAAACGTATAGGGGTGGCGGGGACACCATGTTTAGAGATAGTTTGTGGTCATCCTGATTAAAGATGGAGCATGCAGTTAAGAATGCACCTTCAAATTGAATTTGTCCTTTTCATGACTTTTCATTACTTAACTAGGAAAACTTAATGTATGTATATAAGGTTTTTTTGTATTTATTTTCTTGAATTATTTTTTCGGGATTTAAAAAAAATAAAAATTAGCTTGAGTGGGAAAATAATAATTAAAAGGAAGATGTTTCTTTTTTTTAGGGCTTCAAAGGTCTGCTGTCCTTTGAAATAAGGAGCTTGTGCTTAATGTTTTAGGTTTGTCTTCAAGATCCTTCTCAACTGAATTTCTTCCCACTTTTCCTGAACAACTCCTCCTTCGTATTTCCTAGTTGCCTTTAGTTTTCTGCCCTGATCTGCCCTTCCTTTGTCTGTCTGTTTTCTTATCCACAGAGATCTGGGTTTTTAATTTCACATGGAAAACAGAGTAAAACGTAGTTTTCCCCCTTTATCCTAGAAAAATGTGGATATTTTTATTTTAATGGAGAAACCCACAGATTTTGCAGTTTTGCAGTGAGCTCTCTGGCAGAGTTCCAGCCTACAGAGAGCTGAGGGGGGAATGGGAGAAGGTGGTCAGGCAGGGGGTGCCATGTGAATATATGCACATGGCCTCCAGGCAGCCTGGAGAGCAGCTACTACAGGTGAGTCTGGCGGGGAAGGGGGATGGAGGCCCCCATAGGGAGGGAGGGAGTGAGTTGGGCAGAGCTGGGGCTGCTGCCCAGCTGCAGGGTGTGTGGGGTTTGGGGCCCAGGGCCAGAATGTGTGACCATAGGGTCCTGGCAGGGAGTGGGACAGGGCCATGAGTGGCTTGTCTGGGGAGCAGGGGGGTGGGACTGGCTCCCTGCCACTTGTGCACTCGTGGGGGAGCAGGGGGGTACCATGACCCCCAGATCAGCGAGCTGCTTGCTGTGGGCTAAGGCTCCCCACCTTGCTGCCCTCCCCAGGGGCCTCTGCAGCCCAGTAGGTGTGACCCAGCGCTGCAGGGCAGAGCAGGTTCATGCAGGGAAGCTCCTTGCCACTGCACACTCCATGCTGCCCTGGTGAGGCGTCTGCTGCCTGTGCGACAGCAGAGAGGAGCACAACCCCATGCTGCTGCCTATGTTGCTGCTGTGTGGGCAGGGAATGCCTCACCAGGGCAGCAGAGAGCTTGCAGCAGCAAGTAGCTTCCCCACATGGCTCTGCTCTGCCCTGCAGTGCTAGGTTGTACCTGCTGGGCGGTGAGGGGCGGGGACCTGCACCTGCGTTCTATGAGCTAAGGGGGCAGGGTGAGCTTGAGTTTTCCATGATAAAAAACCCCAAATCAAATACCAAAATGTATAGGTATTTAGAATTTATTTTATTATAGTGATTGAGGCACTGGTAGGCTTCCAAATTGCTTTAAAATTGTAACTATATCAATAAAACATTGTGTTCAACTGATATATATATAATGGCCTTTCATTTTAATCATGGATTTGGGGTTTTTAGTCAGAGAATTTGCAAGTTTTTTTTAATCAGCAAATTTGCAAGTTTTTTATTAGGGAAAACCAGGATCCCTGCTTATCAGATGCACATCTCCACAGTTTTGCTTGTCCCTAGAATGCCCTCTAAACTCTTAGGCAGGCAAGGTTCTTTGGGTAGATGTGATATCATTTATTAGATCAACTGAATAGTTGGAAAAACGTTATTAGCAAGCTTTCAGGCCTAATCTCCCTTCTTCACGTGGTATCTGAGTGGCTCTTGAAAAATTGTGAACTCTCTCTCTGGAGGATCTTTGTTGGGTAAAGGCCCTTTTGAGATTTCTGATGTGGTGATCATGGGTATTCTCCTCGGTGCAAATTCAGTGGTATCAGAGAGCTTGACTGTAAGTTACAGCTTTCTTGGTGAATTTGCATGATTCAGATCTCCACCACCCCCACAATAACTACACTGCACAACAGAACCATCAACATTCCTGGAGCTTACACCTGCACCTCCAAAAATGGTATATATCTCATCCAGGGTACCAAATGCCATGATGGAAAATATGTAGGAGAAACCAAACAACAACTGCGCACCAGAATGAATGCACACCAAAAATCTATCAAAGACAAGAATACACAGTTACCAGTGGGACACACGTCTCACAAGACAATCACTCTCTCTCTGATCTCTCAGTTCTAATCCTCAAAGGGAACTTGCAAAACACGTTTCATAGATGAGCCTATGAATTTCACGTCATAGATCTACTGAATACAAAAAATCATGGACTCAATATAGACGTTGGATTTATGACATATTACAAGCTGCCTGATATCTGATTCACCAGGTATCTGCCAGACCTGACCTCTTACATTTTTCTTTCCTCCCCTCCCCCTTTTCTCCTCATCCCTCCCCTAATTTTCTTCCTTTTGTCTTCCTAATTTCCAGCTATTTCCTTTTCACAGACAGCTTCTTTTCTACCTTGAATTACTACTACTGTAGAGTCTCCCTTACTCACCTTTGACTTTCTTTCCCCCCTCCCTCCCTTGTTCCACCTTTTGTTTTCCTAATTTCTACCCATTTACATTCTCACCGATATCCTGTCACGCTTTTAGCTTCTCTCATTCCTTGGAGTCTCAGAACAGCAGAGATTTCCTATGCCTGAAGAGGGGTGATTGTGCAAAGAAGGGTGACTGTGCCCAAAACCTTCCTAAGAACTTTTTTCCAACTACTAAGCTGATCTAATAAAAGATGTCACATCTACCCAAAGAACTTGCTTGCCTATGTTCTGAGACTAACAGGGCTACAACCAAACCCCCCCTAAGCTCTTACAGTGTTACTGTATCATAAACACAAATTCTGAAGAATATTTTACTAAACATGAGGCAGAAAATCAATTCATTTAATTGTTAAAATAAGCAGGAAAAGTTTTGTTGGTATGAAATTCAAGTAAGTTCCTGTGCAACAGCTGTGCTGTATAAAGAGATATGTTTAAAAATCTATAGTTTTCATTAGCAGAAAGTGGTTTTGATTCTTCAGGGCAGTACTAGTAACTAACTGTGTGAAAACCCCTTTTGCACATCAAGTTTGTTAACTCTAATGCCATTGTATTGCTTTCTATTTTGACAGATACCGACTGAGTTTCAGACCACGTTACACAGTTGCATATAAAATGGTAACAGAACTGGAATGGAGATGTTGTCCTGGTTACAAAGGCGTAGACTGTAGAGAAGGACCAGCAGAAAAACCAAAAACCAGTCTTTCTCCCACTATACAACCACAGGCTGCTATGAAGAAAGGCTTGGGTAACTTTTTGTTTGGATTGTGGTATGCATGATCATGCCTAGTTTTTTGTTTTGTCCGTTTATGGTTTCCTTTACACTACAACCAAAAGGTACAAAAGCAATATACAAGACATATTGTATAATGGAAAAACATTGCAAAGCAATAACAGCTGTGTTATAGGGCATGTCCTGAGGAATAATGAATGGTTGGGTTAGAAGATTTGCTATAAACTCCAGCTAGTCACTAAGGGTGCGTCTACGCATGCAAGCATGTGTGCTTGCAGCAGCTCAAATAGAAGCGGTGCAAATTTGAGCCAGGGCTTTTTGCCTCAGTGCACGTGCTTGGACATGCACTTTGTTGTGGAGCAAATTGTGCCACTAGGGGCAAAATAACCCTGCCTGGCTCCTCCCGGATCTGCAGCCAGGGGGAGCTAGAGCCCGGGGCCAGCACCCTGTGCTGTCCCCAGCAGTATAAAAAGCTTCCTTGTCCTGGCCCCAGCAGTATAAAAAGCCTCCCTGGCAAGTAGCTCAGGGCTACTAGCTCTCAGGAGCTTCTGGGGCCCAGCCAGTTGGTACCTGAGGACACTGCCCCTTGTACCAGCTGGACTGCTGAAGCAGCCCTGAGAGTTCCCTGCACCCTCTGCCCACTGCAGCAGTCTGGCAGTGGGGGCTGCTGCCTGACTGTGATCTGCTGTGCACCTGCCAGACTCAGATGGGGATTGCACAGCCAATAGAGGCATCTCCCCCTCTGGGCTAGCTGCAAGCAGACTGTGGCTACAAAGTTGGTCTTTGTGAGGCACGACTGCCATGTGTGCCCCTTGCCCGGCCACCTGGGCAGCTATTGCCCAGAAGATGTTCCCAGTGTGGTGGCCTGCTTTGAACTGTCAAACCATGTCCTCCTGGCCCCATTTGGCCAGGAGGTCAGCCACAGCCAGCTGGGTCCAAGATGCCAGGTCTGAGCAGGCAGGGTCCTGCCACTGGCTTTCCTAGCAGGAATTCTGGTGTTCCCTCTTGGAAAACTGAAAAATCCCTGATAAAAAAAAAAATCCCCAAATCACTCTCTAAAATACCCACAAATACATGTTCCTCCACAAGTAAAACAAAAGAACATTATAAAGAGAGAGAGTGAGACAGACAGTGATCAGTTGGACAATGTTTTATAGATATATCTACAGAGTTAAAGCAAGTCTCTTATCATAATAATAAAGTGAACTCTAAATACAGGTTTCATGAATTCATGAATACATATTTTGCTGCCCTCCCACAGGGCGATGGTCCCCACAGAAGGGGCTGGCCCCTCACACAAGGGCTACGGCACCCCAACACAGTGTTCAGCTCCTACACAAGGGGTTCAGCCCCCACACAAGGGCTGGCAGGGGGAGGGGCCAGC